CGGTGGAGGCTCAGATCTCAGACACAAAAGCGGTTTCTTCCTGACTCCAGCAGGGCCAGAAGTTCAGGCTGCCCCGCCCTCACCTGGGAGTCACCTGAGGTATGCGAGGCCCAGCGCCCTGGGCGGGAGTCCCCGGTGTGGGGGCCCGTTGGCAGCGGGAGGTGCTGGGGGAGCGCAGCCCTTCCTGGCATCCACGGGCGGTGGAAGCTGGATAAATTTTATGTCACAGGGCAGGCCCCTGTTGAAATTTCATTTGTCCTGCTCTGGGCCAGAACGAGGTGGTGGTTCCGGCTATTTGGGGGGGGGGACTGCCTGGAACAATNTCCCTGCACATAGTCATGCTGGGCTTGGACTCGGCCGGCAAGACCACGGTGCTCTACCGGCTCAAGTTCAACGAGTTCGTGAACACCGTGCCCACCATCGGCTTCAACACGGAGAAGATCAAGCTGAGCAACGGCTCGGCCAAGGGCATCAGCTGCCACTTCTGGGACGTGGGCGGCCAGGAGAAGCTGCGGCCGCTGTGGAAGTCCTACAGCCGCTGCACCGACGGCATCATCTACGTGGTGGACTCGGTGGACGTGGACCGGCTGGAGGAGGCCAAGACGGAGCTGCACAAGGTGACCAAGTTCGCCGAGAACCAGGGCACGCCGCTGCTGGTCATCGCCAACAAGCAGGACCTGCCCAAGTCGCTGCCGGTGGCCGAGATCGAGAAGCAGCTGGCGCTGCACGAGCTGATCCCGGCCACCACCTACCACGTCCAGCCGGCCTGCGCCATCATCGGCGAGGGCCTCACCGAGGGCATGGACAAGCTCTACGAGATGATCCTGAAGCGCAGGAAGTCCCTCAAGCAGAGGAAGAAGCGGTAGTGCGCCGGGAGCGCGCGGGCGCGCCGGGCACGGAGGGAGGGACGGACGCACGGACGCACGGACGGATGGATGGATGGATGTGCGAGAACCCGCGCCCGCGAACAAAGACAGCGAACCAAAGCGATGCTTCCAATTTTTGAACCCGCGTCTCTGCGCCCAGCTGCGGGACTGGTGACCTCCCCTGGGGGTGCGGGCTGACCGGCCAGCGCGCCCTCGCCACCTGCGCGCACCCCCGGCGCAGGGACCTTTTGTCTGCAGCCGGAGCNGGCCCAGAAGATGCCCCTCTCCTGGTGATTTGTGGTGGCTACGGAACCAGTTTTGTTGAGAACTGCTTTTCTGCCTGGAATCAGACGTCATCCAGATGGCTTGGACCCTGTCCATGTGTGGGTCATGATCACACAAAGAGACCAATAAAAAAATAAAAAAATAAAACTGTTGGAGGTGGTGGCCAATGATGCATTTACTGTTTGCAGGACAGCTAAGGGTGTGTAAAGGGTAAGGCTCCGGATGGCGGTGCTGGGTGGCGGTGTGTGTGGACGCAGGGGCCTCCCTCGCACCGTGTCATTGGCACAAATAGCCAGACCCGTGAGCGTGGAGCCTGAAGTTCTCTCCGCCTGCTGATCGGCGTGTGCGCGCACAGCTGCAGATGTGTGCGGAATGGCAATTTGGTTTTTTGCAGGGGATGTCTCATGATACCTTAGCTTGATGATGGGTTTTGGTTTTCAGACATGTTAAAAAAAAAAAAAAAATTCTGCAAATGAATACTTACCTTAGAAATAGTCACCCTCGGGGGGAAAAAGACGCTGCTCTGCCCTTTCATATCCGTTTCTGCTGCACGTGGAGACACGTTCAGATTTCTAATCGGGTTCTTTGTGGCCTATCTGGCTTGGGTATTTATTAAAAATGCCTCATTAGCGTATTTCATGTCACGCACCAAAAAAATTAAAACCCCACCTTGTTGCAGAAGCTGCCCTGGTTGCATGGATTTAAGAGCAGGAGAAGTCCCGGGGTGAGGTTCATCCTTGTGGGAACCGGCCTGCGCAGCGAATGCAAACCACGGCGGGG